TATTGCGGCGGGGGCGGAGCTAGCGTGCGGCGGGGGCCCTGGTAACTGCTGCATGGGAAGCAGGAAGGAGTCCCTGCTTCCTCAACAACCAGCCTCCAGGAGCTCCAAGGGATGTGGAGGTAAGAAGCAGGTCAGTGTGTCTGTGTGTGTGTGTGTGTGACTGTGTGTCTGTCTGTGTCTGTCTGTGTCTGACTGTCTGCTTGTGTGTGAGTTTGACTGTCTGCCTGTGTGTGACAGTGTGTGTGTGTGAGTGTGGCTGTCTGCCTGTGTGTGTGTGTGTGTGCAGCTGTCTCTGTATGTGTGGATGTTTGCCTCAGTGTCAGTGACTGTCTGCCTCTGTGTGTGGATGTCTTTGTGTGTGTGCGCATCTGCTAGTGAGTGAGCGAGCTTCTGTGTGTGCGTGTGTGTGTGCACGCATCTGGTAGTGAGGAAGCCTCTGTGTGTGTGCGCCTGCTAGTGAGTTTGTGTGTGTGCGTGCCTGCTAGTGAGTGAGCGAGCTTGTATGTGTGTCTGTGAGCTTGTGTGTAGGGATCAAATGTGTGTGTGCATGTTAGTGAGCTTGTCTGTAAGGAACATGGGTGTGTCAGAGCCTGTCTGTGGTGAGCATGTGTGTACAGTGAGCTTGTCTGTAGTGAATCTGTGTGTTAGTGAGCTCTTCTGTAGGAAGCATGTGTGTGACAATGGGCTTGTCTGTAGGGAGAGTGTGTGCGCATCAGTGAACTTGTCTGTAGTGAGCGTGTGTGTGTGTGTGTGACAGTGAGCTTGTCTGTAGTAAGCTTGTGTATGTATTAGAGTTTGTCTGTACTAAATTTGTGTGTGTGCTAGTAACCTTGTCTGTGTGTGTCATTGAGATTGACAGACAATGAACCTATTTGTGTGCATCAGTAAGATTGTCTGTGTCTGAGTATGCTTTACTGTATAATTTGATTACCCTGAAAGAACTAATATTTTGAATTAGAAGAAATGTATCAATAATTTATATATATATATATATATATATATGTGTATATATATATATATATATATATATATATATATATATATATATATATACACATACAGGGAGTGCAGAATTATTAGGCAAATGAGTATTTTGACCACATCATCCTCTTTATGCATGTTGTCTTACTCCAAGCTGTATAGGCTCGAAAGCCTACTACCAATTAAGCATATTAGGTGATGTGCATCTCTGTAATGAGAAGGGTGTGGTCTAATGACATCAACACCCTATATCAGGTGTGCATAATTATTAGGCAACTTCCTTTCCTTTGGCAAAATGGGTCAAAAGAAGGACTTGACAGGCTCAGAAAAGTCAAAAATAGTGAGATATCTTGCAGAGGGATGCAGCACTCTTAAAATTGCAAAGCTTCTGAAGCGTGATCATCGAACAATCAAGCGTTTCATTCAAAATAGTCAACAGGGTCGCAAGAAGCGTGTGGAAAAACCAAGGCGCAAAATAACTGCCCATGAACTGAGAAAAGTCAAGCGTGCAGCTGCCACGATGCCACTTGCCACCAGTTTGGCCATATTTCAGAGCTGCAACATCACTGGAGTGCCCAAAAGCACAAGGTGTGCAATACTCAGAGACATGGCCAAGGTAAGAAAGGCTGAAAGACGACCACCACTGAACAAGACACACAAGCTGAAACGTCAAGACTGGGCCAAGAAATATCTCAAGACTGATTTTTCTAAGGTTTTATGGACTGATGAAATGAGAGTGAGTCTTGATGGGCCAGATGGATGGGCCCGTGGCTGGATTGGTAAAGGGCAGAGAGCTCCAGTCCGACTCAGACGCCAGCAAGGTGGAGGTGGAGTACTGGTTTGGGCTGGTATCATCAAAGATGAGCTTGTGGGGCCTTTTCGGGTTGAGGATGGAGTCAAGCTCAACTCCCAGTCCTACTGCCAGTTCCTGGAAGACACCTTCTTCAAGCAGTGGTACAGGAAGAAGTCTGCATCCTTCAAGAAAAACATGATTTTCATGCAGGACAATGCTCCATCACACGCGTCCAAGTACTCCACAGCGTGGCTGGCAAGAAAGGGTATAAAAGAAGAAAATCTAATGACATGGCCTCCTTGTTCACCTGATCTGAACCCCATTGAGAACCTGTGGTCCATCATCAAATGTGAGATTTACAAGGAGGGAAAACAGTACACCTCTCTGAACAGTGTCTGGGAGGCTGTGGTTGCTGCTGCACGCAATGTTGATGGTGAACAGATCAAAACACTGACAGAATCCATGGATGGCAGGCTTTTGAGTGTCCTTGCAAAGAAAGGTGGCTATATTGGTCACTGATTTGTTTTTGTTTTGTTTTTGAATGTCAGAAATGTATATTTGTGAATGTTGAGATGTTATATTGGTTTCACTGGTAATAATAAATAATTGAAATGGGTATATTTGTTTTTTGTTAAGTTGCCTAATAATTATGCACAGTAATAGTCACCTGCACACACAGATATCCCCCTAACATAGCTAAAACTAAAAACAAACTAAAAACTACTTCCAAAAATATTCAGCTTTGATATTAATGAGTTTTGGGTTCATTGAGAACATGGTTGTTGTTCAATAATAAAATTAATCCTCAAAAATACAACTTGCCTAATAATTCTGCACTCCCTGTATATATATATAGTTAATACAATGTTAAACTAAAATCTGCACACCAGTCAAGCCATAAGACTTGCTTTTATATATATATATATATATATCTCTGTTGTACCTTGCACTCAGGCTTCAAAGTTGTGTGACCGGGTGCATCACCAGGGCTCCAGTATCCAGGCAATTGAAATAGTTGGCTGCACTCTCAGATTTCCTTAAAACGTAACTTTTATTGAAATATTTAAGAGAAGATCAACGTTTCAGTCCCTCTTGTGGACTTTCATCATGATCCTGATGAACGTCAACAAGAGGGACTGAAACGTTGCTCTTCTCTTAAATATTTCAACAAAAGTTAAGTTTTAAGGAAATCCGAGAGTGCAGCCAACTATTTCAATTGTGTATATATATATAACCCTACATAGCACAATGATTTATGGGGCTGGCATAGATTTTTTTCCAGGGCTACTTCGGATCCCCAGTCTGGCCCTGGAGTAAGGGATTATAGCAATCCTCAGAGTGAATATAGCAGTTCCCTCCACACATGAGATGAGGCTCTATGTTGAGGGTGAAGGAGAACTGTTTAATGGAAGCCACAACTGGCCTTATATGCAAGTGCCCATGCAAGGGGTTTTCCATAACATATTCCAGGGGCATTCCCCACTGGACCCGAGAGGGGACTGTGACAAAGTACACGCTGTAATTACATTGGCTCTCAGGTCCAGGATAATCCCTTCCCTGTGCCTGAGAGATAATTGAGTCAGGAACTGTACTAAACTCAATTATCATCCAAACACAGAAAACATATTTTGCAATAACCCAAAAGTACCCCCAAAACATATGGAAACCCCACAAAAAAGTCACATCCCCTGATAGCACCGATCTATCGTCCAGTGTGGACGTCCACCGGAGAGTGAACGCGCACCAGCGGGGAATCCCTGGAGCTGTGAGTCCGTCTCGCAGCTGCAGGCCCCGCCGGCCGCGTGAAAGTACGTGCTGACCAATGGGAGAAGGAGCGCCCATTCACACAGGGTTTGCGCAATTCTCCTGGTTGGTCGGCACAAGTGAGTGCTGATTGGTTGCTGTGGGATGCCAGCGGCCAATCAGAACAGGAGCTGATTGGGCAGAAAGGGCCCTCTCGTGCCAGGGCGCTGACTGTCAGCGGATTGATGCAATCGGGTTTCGCGCCCTTTCTTCTAAATTGGCTGTTGGTTGGTTTAGGCGTGAAGTTTGAATTCGTCGGACTAAACCAAGTAACTTCCTGGAACTAATTTCGGGGATGTTATGAGCCTCGAGCCCCAGACCTTGGATACCGATATCTCAGGCTCTGTACATCCGATTGCCCCGCTTTTTGCAGGAATCCTAGGTGGGGCCTGGGGCTATTTATCAATATAAGTTTTAACTCTGTACCCCCTCCCTGTCCCGGAGCGCCGAGCCCCAAAGTTCACCCCTCTGTATGTAATGTGTATTCATGTGTGTCCTGTTAGCGGGAGATGGTTATCTGTCATAAAAAGCTGTTTGTTTAAATAAAGATTGTCTTTTATCCTGGAACTGTGTGCCCTCCAGTTACTGGGAAAATTATTCTAACCTAAGCTTACTAAAGGGAATAACCAGCCAGGTTACCCAGGGCCCGCTACAACTGGTGGCAAGCATCAGGATCCCATGTCCCTGCCAACAGAACCATTGCAAGACTTGTGTGAAGCCAGAGGGATAATGCCTGGCTGTTGTAACAAGGCCGAATTTAACAGCTGCGCTCACGGAAGACAACCGGGCATGCAGTGAGGCAACTACTCCCCAGCCAGAGGCCAGAGAAGAGGAGAAAGTGCACAAGGAGGTCGACTGGCGCCTGACATATTATAGAGAGCCACCCTCAGAGGAGACTGTCAAGAGGATCTTTTCTGAGGTACAAGCCTATGTCCTTGCCAATAGAAATAGGGTGACCCCCACGAACACAGATTGAGGAAGGATGGAAGTGAGGGCGCCGTGAAGCACAACCTCCCCGACCCGCAAACTACCATACAATGCCTTCAAAGAAGGCATCAATGACTTCCTTCAGGATCTTGAGC